TTCTATATCATTAAAAATAGACTTATTTCTTAATGTTACTCCACTGTGGATGTTTTATCCATTTATTCATATTTTTATTTATGTAATGAATATTTTGTTACCACCTACTATGTGCCAGGCAACGTGTATTTATCCATTCCTCTGCTGATAAAAATTTAGCCCACATTTTGCTATTCTTTTGTTTCTTTTATAACAGTGCTGGAGTAAACATCTTTATACTGTCTCTGGACATTTTAGTAAGAGTTTCTATAAAATACATTCTGGAAGTGCAATTGCTCTGTAAAAAGGTATCAGTGTTTTAAGTTTTAAAGCTAGCTCAGGGTTTCTCAACATCAGCATTGTTGACATTTGGGGCCTTATACATCTTTGTTGCGGGGAATGGGGGAGGGAGGAGCAATCTTGTGTATTATAGAATGTTTAGCAGCGTTCCTGGCCTCTACCCACTAGATACCAGTTGTGACAATCAAAAATGTATTCAAACTGTGCCAGATGTTCCTTAGGGACCAAAATTGTCTAGTTGAGAACCACCACACTAGCCCTTCTCTCTTTTCCTCCTACCCTCCTGACAGTCAGGAACAGCCTGTCCACGGGTGTCAGAGCCCAAGCTGTGTGAAGACAACGTGTGTTCTCATGAGGAGAGCCTAGCATGGGATATTGGAGGCCAAGTGGGATGATGGCTTAGTGTGGGATATCAGAGCCCAGGCTGGTGTAGGAGAGTATCCAGGTATGGGGGCAGCCTGGCTTGGGGTGTTCTAAGCTTGAGCCAGGTAAAAGAAGATATCCATGTTGGAGAGGTGAGGATGATCCAGTCCAAAAAAGAGGGCTCTACATTTATATGACTAACGTACCATTTATGGAGGTTTCCCAGCATTAGAGATGGAGTTCCAGTCCCAACTTGATGATTTAATATCTATTACAGCATATAATTAGGAGTTCATTGGCTGATGTCTCTACATTATTTAGAATCATTTTATTAATGGTAGAAGTAGCTAGACCAAGAACATAGCTCATAGGTATCTGATGTTTACCTGCTAATACCTGGCAAGTACTTTAACCATTAAAATAATCCTGTGTTTGTAAGTGGCTCTAACAAATATAATGTTGAGCCAAAGAAACCAAATAAAAGAGTATATACTATGTTGTGATTCCATTACATAAATTTTTAAAAAGTAAAACTTACCTGTAGTGCTAGAGGTAAGGATTATGTTTACCCTTAGTGAGGAGGGAAGGGATTCTGGGTGCTTTCTTGGTCTGGCTGTAGTTACACTTATAAAAAGCCATTTGGCTGGATGCTTGTGATTTGTGTGTTTTTCTGTACCCGTGTCATCATTCAATGAAAAAGTTCACCCCCAAAAAGATCCCCTGTTGTTTCATCTTTAGAAAATAGTCAAGCTCTTTCCTCTGAATCAAAGGATAATTATCAGAAAATAGACTATTAGTGGCTAAAAGACTGCTGTAGCATAAACCAGCTAAACAGATTGGCAAGCACCGCTCAAACTGAGGAAGACCCTGTTTGGAGCACTAATGAAAGTACTCAGGAAACCAAACTTACCAACCAGGGGGGTAATGATGAATAAGATATGCCTTGTTCAGCATCATTCAACACATATTTATTGAAATAACACTTTATGGTAGTTATTACCTGCATTAATACAACAGACATATCTAAAGTACAGTGGTTCAAAAGGTTAAAAATAAAGGGTATGCAAAGATACTACAGGCAAATAGAAATAATACGAAATCAGGGTTTCAATTTGCTAAACAAAGTAGAATCCAGGCAAAAAAACCATTAAACATGATAGAGAACACTTACAATGTTAAAAGCTGTGATTCACAATGATGTTATAATATTTTTTAGTGTCTATGTACCAAATAACACAGCACCTAAATATACCAGAAATACACTATTTCTGGGATTTTATATCAGTATTTTCTATGACATTGGAAATAACCAGAGCCTTGCATCAAACCTATCTTAACCCCTTAGCCTACTAATTTTGGTTACTTAGGATCTCAATTATTTAGATAGCTATTCATCTAAATATATCAGAATTGCTATAGCAGAATATAGGAGAAGGTAAGCAATAGAAACACAGAATAGGAAATTTTTAATACATCACAGTATAAATCTGATAAGACAAGATGTTTCAAGATCATCTAGTCCATTTCCTGTCCCAAACCTGGAGTTAGCCATTTTTTCAAAGACACTTGGTTTCTTTTAGTGGGAAATGATATTTAAAGATCACAATCTTTATATTAAGAGTCCTCACTTATACTTGGGTTGGTCTCTGTTTTTAGGCCTCTTCTAGCTAGGACATTTTTAAAAGAGGAAATACATC